GTGACACGCCAAAGCAACACAACACACCGTGTGTTCCCTACCGCGTGACACGCCAAAGCAACACAACACGCCGTGTGTTCCCTACCGCGTGACACGCCAAAGCAACACAGACTCGTTTCAGATGCCGCATACCGGGACTGTGCTGGTACAAATTTCTACTAAAGTTGATGTATTAAAAATAATCTGTATATATTTTATAAATAAGGAAAAATTCACATGTATCGTCATTACAGGAGGCCCTTTGAGAAATACTGGTGATTACAGAAAATATATTTTGGAGTCTACACAACTGCTCAAAATAACGTAATCTGCCTTGACATAAGAGATCTGGACGTTTTCTGGAGCGGGGAGGGATGAGAATCTCGACGGGACAAACGGTGTGTGTGGCTTCCCGTCTCGAGGGTCACTTAGCCGCAGGACAGCACGAGACAGGGTCTGCAACCACGGCAGCAAAACTCCACGCCCAGTTCTGCTTCTAGATCACCTCACACGCGTTCGGGAAGTGTGACCGGCAGGGGAAGGGTAGGAGGGTGTGGGACCAGGCCAGGAAGGACGGGGGGCTGGCCAGGCGGTGCCACCCAGGGGCTGCAGGTCTGGGGCGGGCGGCTTGCAGCTCTGTTCCCGTCACCTCTCTCAAATAGCAAGGGACCAACAACTCTTCAACCGACGGCAGATGTCATGCCGGGTAGCGGATGCAGGTTTAGATTCAGGAAACTTCCTTATTTTCGGGCTCTTGGGCCTCTCACCCAGCCAACAAAGCTCTGATCTGGAAGAGGATGCCTCCAAAAGACAGTGTTCTCTAATCCTGCCACGGTGACGGGGGGAGAGCCACGTGTCACCAGGCTCGTGTAGGGGTGACTCAGTGGTTGTAGCTTTGTGGAGTGCAGGCTGAGCCGTCTAGGGTGTGGCCCTGTCTTCCGGGCCACGTGGGAAAGGGTGAGTCCGCGTCAGTAAAGGTGAGCTTGGCAAGAAGGTGTGTGAATTGTGGCTTCATCAAAATAAATAAGTAAATAAATAAAAACAGAAGTGCATGCTAAACACTCCGGTGCTGGCTAAAGAAGCCTCACCGTGAATTTTGGAGGAGGATTGCCATTCCCTTCATATGTTCCAAAATTTCGCAAATAATGTTCGGTTGAGTCGGGCTTCCCGCTTGCTGCCGCAGCTCCGAGGGGAGGATGCGGCTGCGTAAGCAGCGCTTGCTCGTGTCCGAGCGTCTGCTGCTGCCCGTGGGCTGCTGCCCGAAGCCCGCAGGCCCAGATAGGATGCTTAAGTCCTCAAGTGACTGGGTGGGTAATCTGGTGTGGACAAAAGCGGGGAGTGGGTTGCGGCCCACTGGCTACTTGGGGTCTTGTGGTCACACCCTGAGGACAGGCACTGTATTTCTTTCCCCTTGAATTTTTTAAGCATCTCTGTTTTACGATCTCTATGATTTTGGAGGGAAACCAAGGCAGCTAGTGACTTTCTTGAGCAAAGCTGCTTTGCCTACATGCCAGTCTGGGAGCAAATAGGGAGCATCTGGCCTGTGAGCGACTTCTCACTTGTACCCAAAGCAAGAAAGCGGCAGGAGCAAAGGCCCTGGGGCTGGTGTAGTGGGAAAGTCAGCTGCTCCTCGAATGGTAGAGGCGGTCGGGACGCGGCTCAGGAGCAGGGCATGCGACACGGATGGGAACAGGAGAGGCTGAGAGTGAAATGGGAGCGGAGGGAGGCGGGCACTTGGGCCCTCTGACACAGGCGGCGTGGCTGTCACTGTCTCTGCTCCTGCTGGATCACAACCGACTCCCCGACGCTTCTGAGCGACTCCCTCTAGTCTCGGTCATCTAACGCCAGGTCTGCGAGCTAGGGTCTGGGGGGCGCGTGATTCTGGGCAGCAAGGAGCTGTACCCCAGTGGGTTCTGGCTGGGTGGGGGCGGCTGGCAGAGGACTTCCGTGGCAGTACCGTGATCGTCCCACGTCACCTGTCGGAGCAGCATTCCGGCGGTGCTGGGTGCAGGGGGCGCGAGGTAGACTGAAGGATGCATAGGAGAGAGGGGGGAGCCGCGGCGACTCTCCGGGGGGCTGGCTTCTCGAGGGGGCCGGGGAGAGAGAATCGCGGGATTTGCTAGGGAAGATGGTTCAGCGTCTGTGGTATCTGAACGAAACACATTGTGGATGACGAATCAGCTACGCGTTTTAAGCCCCTTGTAGAAAAATATATCCAGAATGAATCTGTTTCACATCTCAGTTCTGAAATCTTCTTTAGTTCACAGGTTATTGGTCAACAGAAAACAAGAAGATGTGGCCGTCCAAAGCCAACTCGCGGCCGCTTTCCCGAACGAAGGCCCAGCAGCTGCGATTCTCTGTGGCAGCAGCCGCTCCTGCTTCGTGGGGGTTGACAGTCGTCTTCCTGGCCACCTACCTGGAGCTGGGAGCCCCTGTCGGCACAGGTGAGCAGGGACGGGGGGTGGCTGGGTTGGGGTGGAGATGGTAGGGACTGAGTTTCTGTTTCTGGGGATGTTATACTTAGGTCAGAGTTCCTGAAGCTTGGTATTAGCGTTTGGCCCCAGCCAAGCGTTACAGGGCTCTTCCAGCATCTTCCGGAATGGCTTGGACACTGAAGAAGTAAGCCTGGGTCAGCCCCGGGTAGGGCTGGCTGGCCAGTGGTGCTGATCTGGGGACAGTGGATTTGCCGTGCTGGGGGTGGCCCACTCTCAGGCCTGCTCATGCAGGAGGTTCACAGTATCTTCCGGAAGCCAACAGTCCCTCTTTCTGCCATCCGTCTGGGCTGGCTGGGTGGGCTCTTGGACCCAGAACCTTCATGCTCGAGGGGGCAGAAGGAGAACAAGGGCCTTCATTTCCGAGCCTTACTGTCTCCACAGGTGCAGGTTAATTTGTCATTTTGTAAAGAAAAAAACTTGGATTTTTGTGAAATTTTATTTCAAAATTACTGAGACAGTTTGGTGATTCTTTTGGTAGAGCCAATACTTCTTTAATAATACAAAATATTAGTTGTGGGTGGACCCCGTGTGTTCAGCAGGAGGGTGACCCGCAGGGACGTATCCCCCGCCGGTGGCTTTTGCACTGTGTTCCTCCAGCCTCCTCCGGGGTGAGGGGTGGGAGGAAGGGCAGGCAGGTCTGCCCGCCTTCCCCCACTGCCCCGCTGGGCAGCCCTGTTGGCTTTGCTGTGGAAACACACCTGCCCTCCTGCTGTTGTGCCTTTGCCTCCTGGGCCTGGGCTCCTGGACTCCGGCCTAGGCCTCAGCCCTGCCGTTTCCTGCTTGGATTCCACGGTGTCCAGCATGGCCCACTGCCAAGTGGGCCCTGAGCGGGCCGCCTCCTGTAGCCGCATGTGCGGACAGAGAAAGGCAGACGGAAGGAACACTGGAAAAAGAACAGATGTTGCAGAAGCCGACTCCGTCACTCCTGATTTTTTTTAAAATGCTAGGTCAGGTTAGAGCGGTCTTTCACTTAGGAGTCCCACAGCTCAGCGGAATGGTGTTCTGGCTTGGCAGTCAGTGGGACTCGCCTTCCTTTAGGCTCAGAGACTCTTTTTCTGCCAGGGGCTGACACAATTTCAAAGATTTTACCAAAAGAAGGTTATGAAAGTCGGTGAATTTCAGTGGTAAGAATGGGGTTTGGGAGCAAATGCATCCAGACGGTGAGGCAGGAAAAAAAAGGGCAAGATGCGTGATCCGCCCATCCGGCTACTGTGCAAATGAGCATTAGGCTTTCGAGGTCAGTTTCCACAACCTACGGCTGCACAGCTTGCCTTTCGAAATCTAGAAGATGAACGTACGTGTCATCCTAGCGCACTCCTGGGAGCTGTAGCGGACGGGAAGTTGGTGACTCAGACGCACGAGACACGCCAGAGAAGGGGCTGACCTCGGGACAGGTGGCGGGGCAGGTGGGAGTGAGAACGAGCCGTGTGTACTAGGAGTGACGCAGGACTAGGAGTCTAGGTCGTCCTCTCCTTGGACGGGGTCATTCCTCAGGAGCGAAGGAAAATCATGGCTCTGTCAGCAGGTGGACGTGGCCACATCAGCTCAGGTGTCTGATGGGACCACCTTGCCCAGCCCCGTGTGGCTGCGGCAATGATCACGTAGCCCTGTAAGCTTTGGCCCTGACATGAGAGAGAGGGAGAGAGTATTCTGAGAACCTCCTGTTTGCTGAGAGTCTCTGACCCAGTTGGTCTCCACAGGGCTGGCTGGGTTACTTCTTTGATGCCCACATGAGAGTCACCGCAGCCTGAGACATTAGGGAATCCCACAGCGGGGCCAGCCCGCAGCCTTCCGACTCCGGGTTGTGGGGTGTGCGTGTACGGGGGCGTGTAAGCAAGCACATCCTTGCTGAGATGTGCTGATGGGGGGCTGGGGCACCAGAGCCGAGCGCACAGGCCACGGGCAGAAAAGGTACAGCCTCAAGACCCGCCAGGACCCACTCGGGGCTGTGTGTTGGGCGTGGAGGCTGCCCGTACCTTGTCGGGCCAAGCATGCCCGGCGTCTGGGCGTCTGGACCTGGCTACCGAAATGTCCCCCTTCTGTGGTGCAAAGCAGGCCCACGCAGCTTGTCCTGGCCTCTTGGAGTCCCAGCATAGAACTGGGTCTCTACCAACACGGTGGCTGATCTGCACTTGGAGAACTAGGGCTGGCGATAGTTTGTAGGGCCAGTATTCTTGGACGACCACTGTCCTTTCTGGCTATGACCCCCAGAGACCTGGCCTAAGGCAGGGAAGAACACAGCTGGACCTCAGAGAGCATCTTTCTGCTTACTAGCATTTGAGATTGTAAAAAATTATTTTTTAATCAAAAAAATTTCCAAAATAAAGAGAGTGATTTCCCCATCCCCCAAGATGAAGTAAGTCTCGTGGGCTCTCCCCCAGGCTTACGACAAGTCAAATGGAAAGAAAAGCAAGCAGCAGCCAAGGAGGAGACGTGGTCTCAAGCGAGGGAGAGCCCCGGCCGCGGTCCTGCCTCTAGGCCGCTCCGTCAGGGTGACGTCCGGCTGGGTCTGGCGGTAGAGGACGATGACCACGTGAAGGCAACAGACAGAAGCGTGGCCGGGAGAGCAGGATCTCTGGCCCCCACGGCGTCCCCGGGAAGCGAGGCGTGCAGCGGGCACAGAAGTGACTCCTTCACACGGCAGCAGGGGTCCTCGCTGTAGCTCAGGCGAGACTCGTACTTGCTAACGAAAACCCCAGTCCTGCCGGCAGCGCGTCCCTTAGACCCGGAAACTTGCAAGGAGACCAGTGTTGAACCACAAAGCGGATATGGGGTTTTGCTTTTGTCTGTGAAAATGTACAGGCGCCTGCTCGGGACCGGGCTCCTCGGCCCAGGGGCCCGCTCTGGGCCCTCACACCTCGCCCACCCACACCGCCGTGGCCCCCCCCTTTATGGCCGGCACCTCGCACCGCAGTGCGTTCTGCCTCCCGTGGACGAGGAACAGGGACTCTCGGGCTGGGGTGAGGAGGTACTGTCCGAACAGCCCACTGTCCCTCACAATTCTTCGGGGTCCTCCCCAGGGCCGGGCCGGCCCCGCGGGCGGCTGCTTCAAGTTCTCCAGCACGCTCCTCCTGCCCGTGGGCAGCTCCAGGAACAGCAGGCCCGGCGCGGCCTCCAGCGAGGCGTAGAGGTCGTAGCGACCGGCCTCCGTGCCGGAGCGCTGGAACGCCACGTCCGAGACGCCCGGCTTCACCTCCAGCTGGTACAGGGTCCGGATCTCACCCCGCACGGTGACCTCCTGCACGTGCAGCTGGCTGCTGTCGGCGGCAGCGCTGACCACAAAGCGCCCGTCCGGGGACACGTGTGGGGTGCCGGCTACGTCGCCATTGGGGCCGACCACAGAGTCCGTGACGCTGTCGACCAGCAGCTGCCGGGCGGCGGGAGCAGAGCTGTCCTGTCCGCACTGGATGAAGAAGTAGCCGCCCAGGTGTGTGTGCGCCATAGCCCGGGGCACGCAGCCGTGGCGCCGCAGGCTGATGGTCTTGAGCGGCATCAGCGTCTCCAGGTCCACCTTGTGGACCGCGGGGTCAGACCTGTTGAAGATGAAGCCGAACCTGGGGGAGGAAGAACTGAGGTCAGAGGTCGAGAGGCCTCCTTGAGGGGCAGGGAATCCTTCACTTGTCTTAAACGACCCTCTCCCTTTTCCCCTTGTCGTAATCCTTCAGTGAGCTAAACGCCTATTATAAGATCTATCATTCTGCCAGGGGAGGGCTTCGTAATCAAATTATCTATGATCACAAACCAAATGCAGTTGAGTTACAATTGTTCCTGGATTTATAATCTTTTTTTTTTTTTCTTTTTTGAGACAGGGTCTTGCTCTGCTGCCCAGGCTGGAGTACGGTGGCATCATCAGAGCTCACTGCAGCCTCAAACTCCTGGGCTCAAGTGAGCCTCCAGCCTCAGCCTCCCGAGTAGCTGGGACTACAGGTGAGCACCACCATGCCTGGCTAATTTTTAAAGTTTATGTAGAGATGGGGTCTTGCTTTATTGCCCAGGCTTGTCTCAAACTATCCTCCTGCCTTGGCCTGCAAAGTAGTGGGACGGTAGGCGTGAGCCACCAGGCCTGGGGATTTATGCTCTTGGGACATGCACTGGTCTTTAGAAAAGGTGAAGGAGCAGGGAGAAAGGGCTTTCAACAGCTCCGCCAGCTGGGATGCCTTCGATCTGCTTCCTCGAGGCCTGGGCCGGCTGGGAAGCGGGGGGGCTGCGTCTGGAAGGTGAGTGTGGAGGAAAAGGGCCAGAGGTGACTGCCTGGACTCTGCCTGCTCTGAGGACAAGACAGGAGAGTCTGTGTCCTTGCTGTGTTCTAGACTAACCCGTGAGTCAGAATTTGAGGCAGCTGAACAAGTATGGATTTCCTATCCATCCCCCTTTCCCCTGGGCGAGGAATGTCGGGGCAGTCCCTTTCCTGCCACACCGAGGATGTGGGCAGGAAGAACCTGGGGCAGCAGGGCCGCGGACAGCTTTGACCACGGGAGCCGGTGGGCCTGGGGCTGCCCCGGTGCCCGGCCAGCTGCTCGCCTCTCTGAGCCTCCGCGGACTCTGACAAGGGCAGCTCCTTCCTGGGGCTGTGGGGGGATTAGATCTAAGAGGAAACTTTAGACAGGAGCTCAAGTAGGTGGTCGTTGCTCACAGGTGAACTTTCCGAAATTCCTTTTTGGAGGCTGGTTGCAAGTACGGCAAGGCCGGACTGCAGGTGGAACTTCCCTTTGATCTTGAGAGCCTCTGCCCAGATCCCTCGCTCACAGAGGCCGCTGGGCGCCATGTACGCCCACAGCGACAGAGCAAAATCTCTTCCACAATTTCCTCTTGAAAACTATACCCCAGAGTAGGGGAAATGCTCCCCATCACCAGGCATGTCTTTAAGGCATCCTGAAAGAGCCAGAAAGAAAACCTCACCCTCAACGAGGAACTCGAGCGTAAAAGCCGCTCACAGGAGCCGCAGCGCCTCGAGTTCGCACAACTCCCGGCTGAATTCGGCGTCTCTGCGGGGGTTGCACCCTTTTGTGCAAATCTAGAGGGTTCTGTCAGGTCCTCTCTGGTGAGGGATTCGAAAGTGGTTCTTCTGTGGGCAAGGGTAGGTGGGCGCCTCTCCAGCATCCGCTTGCAAAAATGGGTCATCTCCTCCCGGAGAGAGGAGCGCGAGGGCAGGAAGACGTAAATGGTGCCCCAGGACATCTCGGGACTTGGCGACTTGGTGGGCAGGCCGGGTCTCCTAGCAATGGGGGGTCTCGGAAACGAACAGGGAGGGGAACGGCCAGGCTGGGACAAGGCTTGCCGTGGAGGCCACGGCTGTCATGATGAGGTGGTGGTTTTAGATGGTGGCAAACCACGGCAGTCGGGAAGCCTGGTCTCTTTGTGGGGCCCCTGCGCAGAGGTTTGGGGGCTCCTAGAGGAATCATGGGCTGTGGTTAGGAAGGAGGCAGGATGGGGCACTGAGGGAAGACTTGGCTTTGCATTTAGTCCGACTCCGCCAATTCCTGGCTGTAAAATAGGGGTCAAGACCACTTCTAGATTTTCGTCTACAGCAGGTAGAGGGTGCTCGATTTGCCCCCATTGCATCTTTTCTTCCTATGTTGTCCTCACCTTGCGGATGAAACTTCCTGACCTCCCAGGGCCCCTGAGGGCATCGGAGCCGAGTACCCTCTTTAACAGAGTCACGGACTATAAACGGTGAGGACTAGGCTCTGGGCCTGCTTTGCTAGAGACGGGTCCATTTCTCTGTCTCTTCCTGATGGGTCCGAACCCAGCCCAGGAGCAGCAGGGGAGGGGAGGAAGGAGCAGGCGCCCCCTCCCCCGGGGAAGCTGCCCGTGCAGGGCTGAGCTGGGTGTCGAGCCGCTTAGAGGCCTTTGAGTCGGTCTCACCTGACGTGGTTGATGATGAGGTTTGTCGGGGGAATGAAGAAATCGTCCACCCCTGCAAAGGGCGTGCGGATGAGGTGCTGGCCCTGGCCGGAGCTGGCCTCTGTGATCACCTGCAACACAGAGCGGGGTCCTGTGAGGGAGACGATGAGCAAACCGCCGCCCCAGGACCAGGGTGGCAGCAAAGGGCGGCTCTTTGGGTACGTCACAGGCAGGGACCGAGCCTTCCCAGGAGAGGACATGTGGGACAGGAGTGAATGTCCCAACTGCCCCCTCCTCCTCGCTCAGCCTCTGTGACCGCAGAGCGAGGACCCGAGGGATGGCGCAGGGACTTCCGAGGGAGGTCCCCAGAGCTGAAACGTCACTCCGCTTGCTCGGAGACAACCTCCTCCCCACACAGGGAATCCCACCTCTGCCCGGCGTAGGCCACCCCAGGGGAAGAGGGAGGGAGCTTTCGGCCATGAAAATGGTAGAATTGTTTGCTGGGAATTCATTTTTATCTGGTGTCCGGTGCCTGGGCCTGTTTGTTGGGAATCTGTCAGATGCTGCTAATGGGGCGTTTTCTGAGAGTGGTGGCAGAAGCATTTATTAGAGAAGGTAGCATCCTGCGGGAGCCTCAGACACTCGCAGATGCTGCTCGTGTCGTTTCGACGTCTTGCAATTAGAACGCCGGGAGGAGGTTCTGGACGCACAGAGGGGACTTGCCGTGGAAGGTAAACAGTTGGGCCCTGTGCTTTGTACAAATTGGTAGTGACAGAGCATGGCTGCCTCTGTTTCCCTGGAGGTGACACTTTCTCCCTGGCAGACATAGCAGGAGGCAGTGAGAGGCAGGTCCCTGCTGTGTGTGTGTGTGTGGCAGGGGAAGGGCAGCCGGCAGCTTAGAGCTGGGTGGTGTGCGGGGTCAGATGGGACGAGGGGTGGTCTGCAGGCCCTGCCCTAGTGGTCAGGCTGGGCGGCCCCCTGGTCACCACCAAGGGCCAGGCAGCCAGCTGTGTCCTCCTGCCCTCTGCACGTGCTCATCTGTCTTCCAGTTCTAGGCCGCTGCCTGTGAGGTGGCCGCCAGCCACCAGATGAGGGGCTTGGCCAGCTTGCAAGCAGTTTTGGCTCGAGGGCCCCAAGGACAAGCCCAGACCCTCCAGGGGGGACAGGAGGCGGCCGCCAGACCCCTGAGCAGGCAGAGTGCTGGCCCGGCGCCACGCACGCTGTGGTTTTCAGTCCTGGGGCAGGTCTAAAGTTGCACGAGGTTATTTTCCTGCGATTTATTTTTTAAATGGCCAAATGAGTTCCTTGGCAAGTCCACGGGAAAAAAATTCATGGAACTGGCATTAAGAAAATACCAGCATTCGGAAACTGGATCTTAGAGAGTCTGCAGGAAAATGCTGCAGAATTCCAAGCGGCCACTGCTCGATGTCAGGCCTGTCATCTCGGCTTATGGCAGACATGGGAAATTGCAGGCTGTCATCGGTCACTGTCACTCATGCTTCGCCGCTCTGACACCCGATATTCAGAGGTTACTTCTTCAAACACACAGTACCGTGGGCCGTTGAACCGACGTGGGCATGTCAGCCTTGTTTCTCCGAGCCACGAGTTGCTTCTGCGCTTTTTCCTGTAGCCTGGCACGTGGCCGGGCCCGTAAGTGCCCCAGAGATACCGGTCGAGCCCTCGAGTTCCTAGCTCCGCGGGCTTGGTTCAGGGCATGCACGGGTGGGTCCTGGAAGGCTGGCATCTCGCTTAGAGAGTGGGCGAGGCCAGTGGAGAAGTGACATGGGGCAGGACAGGAACGGCGTGCCCAGTGAGACAGGCTGAGAGGCAGCTGGAGGCTGGCCTGGGACAGGGTGGGCGGGACGGTTCTGGGCAGAATTTGAGAAGATGCCAAGTGTTGAAAAGTTGGTCTCCGGGCAGGGCCTGGTGGCACGAGCCGCGTTCATGGAAACACCTTCGCGTGGTCGTCGCAAAGTTTGCTCAACAAATCCCTTAGTGTTAGATGCCTAGAAACAATGTTAGGGTATTAATGTCTTGCAAATATAAATGATGCAGTAACACATCATGTTGTACCTAAATCTTTGTCCACATCCATGGTTTTGGCCTTTGGATGACTCCTGAGAAGTCCAGTTGCTGGATCAGAAATTACTCTTTGAGGCTGTTGGTTCATGTTTCCACCTTGCTTATCACGGAGGCTGCGCCGGGTGACCTTCCCAGGACCAGCTCTTGTGAGTACTGGTTTCCTTAGCCCACAGTGACGAAAGCAGGTTTATTCCAACTCACTCTTTCTTGTGATGCTGCCTTTCCTAGACTTTCCAGTTATGGTGATGGCATCCTGGTCTGATTTCTGGTATTAAAATGCTTTTAGTGTTTTGTCATTTAGGCAGAGAAATGCGATTGGTTTTGGGGAAATAGTCTTTATTTAAAGAATTTCCTTCTATTCCTATTTTTAGGCTTTTTATTAAGAATGCCTTCTGTATTTAATTAAATACCTTTTCAGCATTTATTGAAGATACCCTACGTTTTTTTCTCTTTTGATTTGTTGGTGTTACGAATAGTCCTGAGGGTGAACCGTCACCGCGTCCTGGGAATGTGATCCCTGCTTGCGCCTTTAGACACGTCGCTGGACTCTGTTCTTAGTGTTGTGTTTACAACTTTGCTTCTGTATTCATGAGATTACAGTTTTCTTTTTACACTATTTTAAGTTTTTATAATTATACTGGCTCTTCAAAATAAACTAAGGAACTATACATATTCCCCCATTATCTTGGGATAGCGCAAATAATATTAAAGTTATCTCTATTTTGAAGATTTGATAAAACTAGCTATACATTTTTTAATCTTTAAAAACATCTATGGTAATTGCTCTAGTTCGTAGGTCAGTTTTTATTTATTTTTACATTTTGCAAGTAATCATCCATTTCCTCTAGGTTTTAAAATTTGCTCTGAGTTGCAATGTAGTAGTATTTTTCAATTCTTTTCATCCTCTTGTATCTGCAGTAACATCCCTGTTTTCATTCCTTATTTTGTCTATTTTTGTTTGTTTTCTTTTGAGTCCAGAACAAAACTTTAAAAATGCCAAGTGTTTTTATATAATGTGATATACACTGAAGTTTTCAGGAGCATCACTACTGAGGGAAACATTTTAAAAATATGGAACACTTCACAAACGTGTGTGTCATCCTTGTGCAGGCGCCTTGCTAATCTTCTCTGTATTGTATTAATATCTGTGCTGCCAAAGTGAGCACCTTTTTTTGGTTTTCTATTAATTTTGGTCTTTTTAAATTGCTTCTAGCCAGTAACTGTTTAGCCAGTAACTGTTCTTTTTCTAATTTCTTAAATACTTCCTTTGCAGGATTTTAAGCCACAAATATTCTTTGGGGACAGCTTTCTTTCTCTGTGTCCCATAGGTTTTGATGTGAAATAGTCTCTTTTTCACTGTTTTTGAGACAATATGTAATTTTACTTTTAATAGCTATCCAGAATTGTTTTCTTAATTGTCAGATAATATAACACCTATTTTTGCAAAAATTTTAAAGTTTTCTTTAGTGATACACTTTGTATATGTGGACATATGAAAAATTCTATTTGAGAGATGGAAGGTTTTCTATGTATTTAAGTTCCTTGTTTATATTATTCAATTTCCTGTCATTATTGTTTTTCCTTCGTGTATACAATTGTAATCAAGTTCTTGTATTTTTAATCCCCCTGTTTTACGTATTTAGTTATGTTTGATATAGATTGGCTGTTCATCGCCTCATGTCTCTCAAGATGTGGGTTATTGCTTTTAGTCCTAACCTTCCCCTTGTCTGATATTAACATCATCACTCATGCATATCTTTTTGTTTACCTGTCATCCCTAGTCTCACTCTTTTAAAGAAACTAGCAATAACTTGAAGTGATAATAAGGTTGAATTTAAATCAAATTTGATCATCTCTGCTTTTAACAGGAGAATTCAACGTGTCATATAATGAGATACTTCTCAACTACCAATTTCCAACAACATTCTCTTAGAGTCTTTCTCAGTATTTTTACTCCCTCCCTCTGCCTGCACTTTCTACTGTTATCCCTACCGAAATAATTTAATACATTTCTAATTGAAATGTCCTCAGGTAGTCTCTTCTTACCCATTTCACTTTTATTCTTGCATCTGCCTCTCTCATCTGATTCACCTAATGTTTGCCTGCTATCTTCTTCTGTCCTGACAGGTGACCAAGTTCTGGCTGGGTGCAGGACTCCTGGGTTTCAGCCCTTTCGTCTCAGGAGCGTGTGATGTGATTCCAGGTTCTGCCAGCTCCTGCTGTAGGTGAGACATCCAATGCCCATTTGATTAGGTAACTTCGTCTTTTTGCCCTAAAACTTTTAAGATTTTCCCTTTATCCTTGGAGTTCTGGAATTTTATCAGTAAGTGCAGAGACGTGTTATTTCATGTCAATCTACGATTTCTTCAACATTTACTTAATGTTTGACTGCATTCCAATCGTTACCTTTTCTTTCTAAGCTTCTGTTGTTCCCACTTCAGGTCTCGAGCTCTTCATACATTTGCTCTGTGATTTGAGAGAGATTTTCTTCTTCATCTTGTAGGTGCTAGTTTGGGTCTTAGTAGCAGCTATGTGTTTTTCAACTCGTCTATTGCAGTACTAAAATGGGAAGTCAGTTTTGTTGTTAGTGGCTCCTCCCCTTGAATTTCCTGCAGTGCTTTCATTTGTCAGCACTGGGGCCCCAAAATGGTGGTGTCCCTTAAGTGACAATAGCCTCAGGTTACAGAAAGTGGAGTAGTGTCTTCTCCCTGGCCCAGCAGTGACTAGGCCCCAGGAGGAAGCTTCTCCAGACCGGGGTTCTGAGAGAGAATTAAGCCCTGGTGTCGGAGGCCTCCACTGCAGGTCAGAAGTTAACCTCCCTCCTGCGCATCTAGAAGAAAGGCTCTGTGCACCTTCACCGGGAGGGCTGAGGAAACAGGACTTCAGATCACTTTTGTGGTGATGAATCCTCCCAGGATCTCTGCTGGGAGAGCTGCGAACCTCCCCCAGCTGAGGAAGAGCAGGGTCCCACGGCCAGGGCCGGACCAGAGGCAAATTATTTAACCCTCCCTCCCCTGGCACGGTGTCAGCACTTAGTAACTGTGCTTTCGTTTAGGGCTGTACCTGCCGCTTTGATACCATTCTCCAGCCTGAGGTGACACCGGCCCTGCCTGCCTGGACTCCAGGGCCTTGCGCTGTTTGGCCCCAGCAACTACTAGCTCAGGAGATGCAGGTATTGTGGGGCTGGGTGCCACATTTTGGTCCCCACGACATCAGAATCCTGTCCGTCGTCCTTGTGACTGTGAGGGGCAGGGGCCGTTTGTGTTCCGGGGGAGAGTGCTCCCTGTTGTGGAAGGCTCCCACTCCACGTGCTCACATACCTGGAGGCTCGGGTGGGACTTGTGCAGGTCTCCCCAGCTCAGGACCCAGACTTGGTCATGTGACTTGTCATAGGACAGCTTAGCCGGCAGAGGGTCCACACCTATGGACTTGAAAAAAAAATAGTGACAAGTTGGTCATTGTTGTTGTGCAAGATGATTCGCTGGCCAGTTCTGGGCTTTGTGTGCACGGGTGACAGGGAGGCCAGCCTAGGAGCCTTGGCTGCGCTTCCCCTTTGGCTTTTTCTCAGAGGCATAAATAATGTTCTCCCCCCTTTTTTTCAAGACAGAGTCTGGCTCTGTTGCCCAGGCTAGAGTGCCATGGCGTCAGCCCAGCTCACAGCAACCTCCAAGTGATCCTCCCAGAGTGCTAGGATTCCAGCCAATGTTCTCCCTTTTCACAACTTCTTTTCTTGTATGTTTTTACCTAGAGATGGAGGCCAACTTGGAAAAAATCCTGAACACAGAGGCTTTAAGTTTTCCACCTAGGCACCAGCTCCAGACATTCTTCCTGGAAGACTTGGGGGCCTCTTGGACCCTGGCGGGCACTCTGGTGAGCTGGCCCTTCCCAGGGTGGACTTTATCACCCTCTCTACCTCTGTTCTACTCTGAGCAGTCTGTCGCACCAGACACCTTAGTGTGCCCAGCCCCATGCCTCCTCTCCAGTACTTTCTTGCTCTAATTAAAAACTCCTGTCCCCTGAGCCTGAGGTAGAGTCTGTTTTTATTTTCCTAGACTTTACATACTCCAGCTACCCCTCCTCATTCCCATCACCCATCAGTAATGACGCCATCTCTAGCTACTTGCATGCTCTCTCTTTACAGCAAAACTTAGAGTTTTGATTTGTAGCCATTCTCTCTGCTTAATCTTCTCCCATCGGATTTCATAGTCTTACTCTGAAAAGAGCTAAACCCAAAATCTCCTGAATTTTCCACAGTATCAATGTTTTTTGGAGAAAGAATATGGCAGGGAGGAGGCCCTAGGATGAGGGGTGCATCAGACCGACCTTACAGAAGCTTCAGTTCTCCCCTCTCCCCACCTCGCAGAGGGAAAGGTAAGCCCTCTGGGGTGCCGAGAGCTGTCTAAGGTCTCCATGACTGTTCATACAGGATGTCTGACGTTCCAAGAGTCTGATGCTATGAACAAAAATAATGGTAAGGGACCCAAAGCTGACCCATAAAGAGATAATTAAGAATTTATATAAAAAAGGGAATGAAGTAGGAACTTTAAAAGTGAAAAATGCAATATGTGAAATAAGAACTTAATAGGTTTTGTTAAACCCATATCAGACACAGAAGTTCGCAAACTGAAAGGTTGATAGAACAGACTGAAGTAGAAAGAGACACTTGGGATGGAAAAGTCTTAACAGATTCCTGAAGAAGAGGTTAGAGTGAAAATGAGGCAGCAGAATATTCAAAGAAATAATGGCTGAGAATTCACCAATCTGATAGAAGATATCAGTGCATATATTCAAGAACCTCTGTAGACACCAAATCAGAATGAATACAAAGAACAGCATATCCATGCACATCATAGCACTGCTAAAGACCACAGAGAAAAAAAAGATACATTAGCTTCAAAAGAGCACCAATAAGACTGAGAATTGGCCTAGCAATAAAAACAATGAAATATAGTGGAATGACATCTTAAAATGCTGAAGGAAAATAATTGCCAATATAGAATTCTATGCCCAGTGAATAAATATATCCTTCAGAAATAGAAAATAAAGATGTTTTCAAACAAATACAGAACTATTAAAAAATTATCCTAAAGACCAATGGAAAGGGTAGATGTGTGAACGAATATAATTACTATTGATTATATGTAATTTAGCCCCACAAGACATGACAGAGTTAAAATTCATTGCCACAATAATGCAGATGGCAGGAGGAGGGTTAAAGGAATGAAGTTCTAGCATTACTGGGGAAGGGAAGTAACAATTTGAGACCGTATTGACCCAATGATGGGTGTTGCAGTCTCTACTGTGTTGATATCAACAATATTAAAGAGTTCATATTCAAGCTAATAGAGGGGAAAAAACAGAATAATAAAAAAGGTAAAACTCAACAATATAATTACATTAAATATAAATGGATCAGACATTCCAAGTAAAAGACTATTAAAACCACAACATGTGGTTTTATAAAAGAGCATCTTAAATATACTGACTGAAAGTAAAAGGATGGAAACATTATACCATGAGAACACTAGTTAAAATAAATCTCATTTAGCCATTACTATAGTATTAATTCAACAATAGACTTTTGGGCATTTTTCTGGCCAGGGGAGTCAATAAAAAAAGATAGTTACAAAACATCCTGCCGTATTTGCCAGGAGACACTACAACCCTAGTTATTTCCAGCTTTCTTCACACCATGAGCCTGCCCTGGGGCAGCCGAGCATTGCTGGAAGAAGAGCGACACCCTGCTGACAGGTCTCACATCCACAGTCCTCAAGTGGGTCCTCACCACTGCCCAGCCGTCCCACCCCATTTCTGGTCAATCCAGTCTCAGGTTCAGCTTTTACCTCTCTCCTCAAACATCCACCTGTCTCAGTGAGAAGTTTAAGGCAACCAGAAGAGAAATCACCACCCACTGGATCACCTGTTTGCACCTGTTAGAATGGAAGAAGGGGCTTTTGTCTAAGGCTAGATCTCCACTGGGTGCCGCGGTTGCCATTGACTCCTCCTACTTGGATGATGCAAGAGAGAAAGAGATGACCTGTGGGAGCAGCTATCCCGCGAGCATGCAAATGCTGTAATGTCACCTCTTCAAGTTCCTCGGCTTCCCCGTCCATAGAGCTGTCTGCATCCCCCGTCTCCTCACCTCCCCTGCTCACCGCACCCCAGCAGGCCTGCGTTCTACCACTGTAATCCCACCCTCGCCTGCCAAGGTGATCCGAGACTCTGGGGGACCAACTCCAGTGATCTGTCCTCAGTCTCTGTGACACACACGCTCTCAGCAGCATCTGACACCGTCGACCACGAACTCTCCCTTGAAACACTTGCTTCTAGTGGCTTCAGGAAGGCCACCCTGTCCTAATTTTCTCCCTACCTCTGAGGCTGCTCCTTCTTGGTCTCCTCTGTTGGTGGCTTCTCTCCTTACTGACGTTTAAACGCTGGAGCGCTTCAGGCCCCCAAGCTTGACCTCTTCCCTACCTGTACCACCCTTGGGGATTTCATCCCGGACCATTCAGAGGGTGAGAACACCCAAGCCGACACCTCTGGTCTAGCAGAGTCGACCTGTTTACCCGTCATCTCTACTTGCACATCTAATCGCATTTCAAACTGAAATTTCCCCCAATCTGCTCCCAGGCCTCACCCCCTGCCTTGCCTAAAATCTCTTCTATCAGCATATTAGCTTCGCGTTGCTGCAGTAACAGATCACCACAGATTTGATGGCTTAAAACCACACAGAGTTCTGGAGCCCAGAAAGCCACAATCAATTCCACTGGGCTAAAACCAAGGCGTGGGCAGGCCGAGGCACTGCGGGGAACGGCACTCCGTGCTTTCTCAGCCTCCAATGCTGCACTCTTGCCCCGGCGGCTCACAGCCCCGGCCTCCAAGCTCCAAGGCCGTCTTGCTCAGTCCCCACGGCGCCTCCTTTATCTACCCAAATTTCTCTTTGCCCCCCTCTTATAAGGATCCCCATGATCACATTCAGGGCCATCCTGACAATCTCCCCATCTGAAACGCATTGATGTTCGCAGGTTTGGGGGAGTAGGACGTGGACATCCTGGGGGCTGTTTTCAGCCTGCTGCACACTGTAAATGACACCAGCGTTCTACAGTTGCTAAAGTTAAAAACCACCAACTTGATTCCTTTTTCTCTCAGAAAGTTTTGGGGCTCCAGGTTTAAAATACATCAAGAATCTGACCGTTTCTCACCTGGATCACGTCAGACCACATTCCCGCTCTGCCTTCCTTCCTGTGCTCTACCCAGTAGCCAGGCTGACTCTATGAGTCAGATGATGTCACTCCCTGGCTGGAGCCCTGCGGTGGCTTTCTCACTGAAACGTCCTCACTGGCCTGCAAGGCCCTGTGTCAGCCGGCTTTGTCCCCCCGACTCCGTGCACCCCACACTCTTCCCCTCATCCCTGGACCCGCTCCCAGAGCGCGAGGCCCACGCGGCTTCCAGACCCAAGATGCCGTTCCCCTCCGGAGAGAAGGCCAGCGGAAGACAATCTCACGGTTCCTGTCACATTTTACCTGGTTTTTCACAGCACTTGCAGCTCCCCAAAATTCTGATTTATGGTCTGTTCCCCAGCTAGAATGTAAGCTCTGGGGACGTCACGGCTCAGCCATGGGTCGCCTAGAGCAGTGCCTGGCGTGAGGTAGAAAGTAAACACTTAACGAATAACCGCACACGAGTCTCTCCTTTTCCCTCTGGGCCGACCAGGAGCCGGGGAGAGCGCAGACAGCAAGGGCGGATGGGGCCAGAATCCGAACTCTTCCTTACTCCGTGAAACAGCATACCTGCAGCACTTTCTGGGCCTGCACGTCGACCACGAGGACCCTGCTGAGGGCCGGCTGGGCCACGTAGATGTACCGGTTCCGGACGTTGGCCGCGGACGCCCACTGGCATGGCCGGGCTGCGTCCCCTCCTCGCCGAGGACAGATTTCTTCCTGTAGAGGAGAGGGGCTGCCGTCAGCCTTCGGACCCTCCCTTTCCCTCCAACCGCTCTGGTCCCCCCTCCCCTGGACCTCTGCCCCCCCTTCCTCCCTTACGCTTAACCTGCTGGCTTCAGGCCTCACCTCAGAGCTGGCGTCGTTGTCACCAAGGTCTGCACTGACTCCTCCCATTAAATCAGACCCCTTCCATCACCCCGCGTGAACTCGGGCCATCCGCTGACGGTGCCAGCTGCTCCTCAGGTCCCTTCCCTCGTCTCCCCCGGTGCCTGACCCTTCTCTGCACGTGCAATGCCCAGGGTTCAGGCCTGGATGTCTTTTCTTCTATAAAATCCACCCCTCCTCGAATCTCGCTGAAACCTATGGCTTTACATGCACTCTGTACGCTCACGACTCCCAGATTTGCATCCTGAGGCTTCTTCCCTGAACTCCAGACTCACGGCCCAATCCTGGCTCCACTCGATTGCTGGATGTGTGTCTCGAACTTAAATGCCCAAAAGCAACCCTCGTTCTACTCAGAACCTGGAAGTTCCGTGGTTTTACCTCCCTTAGGCCCGAGCCTTGCCGTCCAGTGAAGGGAGGCCGCCCTCGACCCCTCGACCCGCAGCTTCCGGCCAGGGCACCGCAGGCCACTTCAGTTCACCTTCGGATACTTCCAGAATTAGCCCCTTTCTTACCTCTTCTGCTCCGTGGCCTGGGCTCCAGCCACGTCACCTGTCCCTGAGTACCTGCCACTGCGTCCCGACGTGCTCCTTGAGTCCACCCCAGCCTTCCCCACCCTGTCCTCAGCATGGCGACCACAGGCATCATTGCAAAATGCAAGTCAGATCAACTTCCCCTTCACCCCCAGTCATGTTCCCTCTTGCTCAGAGTAAAAATCCCAAATCTCTCCTGAAGTCTACAAGGCCCCTGCATTCCGGCTCCTTTGCTCTTCCTTCCCTGCCGCACTCCACGCACACAGACGCGCTCGCTGTTCCTTGGCCACACCACCCTCCTGCCCCAGGGCCTTTGCACGGGCTGTTCCCTCTGCTGGGAATGCTCTTCCCTGCTGTCCTGGGATTTAGTCCCTGACTTCCCGCAGGGCTCTGCTCAGGCTGCATCACCTTGCTGAGAGGACTTCTCTGACCTCATGTAGCGTAGCACCCCAGCAAATGAAAGTGAGTTTTTCATTTGCCACTTGACTGCGTACATGTGCTTGTCTGCCCAGGCACCGTCTTTCTTCCTTCGCTAGACTGTAAGCTCCTTGGGAGCAGGGTCTCTGGTTCACTGCTGTGTCCTTAGCACCTGGTACGGTGCCTGGCACAGAGCTGGAGCTCAGAACCGATTGTTGACTGAATAAATGACTGACAAAGGGGACCTCCTTTTCCTTGTCTTCCATGACACGCATTCTCATGGTTTTCCTCATGACTCCGGCCCAGTTCTGTCTCAGCCTTCTCTGTGGTTCCTCCTAGTCTGCCTGTCCCCGAACTGCTGGTGACCCCAGGGTTCTGCTCTAGATCCCCACCTCAGATCACCTGCGTGCACCCTTGTCTATCTCCCGGCTTTCTAACTGGTTTCATGACTATTCACTGGAGATGACACTTCTAAAGAATAATTAACTCAAACGAAATAGCCTGGAAAACCGCTTTTCCCAAGCCGCAACTGTGAGAGATGCAGCAGCCTGAGACGCACCTCCCTCCAGCACAGCGAGGCGACGGGCTTGCTTCTGCGACTCGCCCGGGCCAAGCCCGGCGCTGTTCACCAGTTCGTTCACCGGACGCGATTGAGGACGCGCTGTGTACCCTCCAGGGGAAGCCACACGGGAGATTTTAGGTGGCCCTTCTGGACTGAACACCACAGTCCTACCCTCAGGGAGCTCAGGGTGTCCCACGAGGCCAAGTGGGAAACAAGCCGGAGGGACAGAGGCCGGTGTGGGGGCCGCAGCCCCGGGGGAGGCCTCCAGGCAGGGAGCCCGAGGGCTGGCAGGCTCTCGTGGACCCACCGTCAGCGACCGCGTCTTCCGCCTCTGCCCACCCCATGTTACGTCGTCACCTTCTACCTGGCCCTGGCTCCCCGAAGGCCACAGAGGAAACACCTGTTTGGCAGCTGTCTGTTTGCATTGCTATCTCTGTTATTGACTGTGACCTTCCGGAGGCCGGGAACCCTCTGAGCCCCCTGGGCCTCTCCTAGGGCTCCGTGCACGGAGGCGGCTGCTACAGGAAGGAGCGAGAGTGTAAACTCTCAGCCTCAGATGTCCTTCCCTTAGCAGTGGACAGACCTGGAATCACACCGCCACGGGCAGCAAGCGGAACGCAAGCAATCAAACGGCGCCCACGGTGAAAGACCCACTTGTAGGGTTTTGTCTGTGTGTGCTGTGGAAGCTGCACAGAAACTTACAGAGCTCATGAAAATCCTCTCCGTCGGTCGGAGGTGCCTCTGGATCTCACAGTCCGCGGGGTGGACGACGACGATGCCGTCGTCGGAGAAGACGTAGAACATGTTTCCCACGCTGAGGCCTGGGAGGAGCAAGCAGAGCGGTCAGGCCCCTCCCGGCAGCGGTGCCCGGGCAGGGCCGCGTGCAGCACGGAGCACACGGGCGAGCGGCCTGCGGTCGCATCCGGCGCAAGCGCAGAACGCACGTCCCGTCCAGGCGGAGCGAGGCTGAACGAGCAGCCACAGCTGACGGTGGGGGAGGGACCCAGGGACTGGGAGTCGGCTCTGCAGTCCCCAGGCCGTCCTCCCAGACACCGACGGCCGCCGTAAGTCACCTAGGCTGGCCACCAGCACAGGTTTTCAAGTAAAAGGTGGCCTTGGCTTCCACGTACGTTTAGCCTTTCCAGTTCTGAAAGAGAAAACCTCTCTCGAGTCATTCATTGTCGACCAGTAAAATCGGAACGGATCGGGTGATGCCCAAACAGCAAAGGCTCTTATCTGTAGGAACATGTTTGTGCGCAGCGTCTCTCCCCGGAGTGCGAGGTCCTAACCGTGCTGTGACTCCTTTGCCCAAACTCAGCCCTGGCCTGTCCGTGCCAGCCAACCCCTCCTTCCAAACAGCTCGCTCCCATCCCGCACCCCAGTTTCTCCGTGGCAGCCCCAGGCCGGCAGCAGAGCTCACACCTGGTCATGCCCACCTGCTGCCCCCTCCCCCAACCCCGGCCCAGGCTGTGCTCTCTGGTTAGAAGGTCTACTTAGACCTGGAGACCTCCTAGTTCAGCCTCCATATTTTAAAGACAAAGAAACTGAAGTCCAAGGAGGGGAAGCGGTTTGGCTGAGGCTACCCGTCTTGTGCCAGAGCTGGGGTTAGGCCCTGGGCCCTGCTTTTGGACCTCTGTCCCTCACTCTGTCCCTCCATAGGGGGGAAACAGGGCACAAAGATATGTAGGCCTAGAGTTCTCCCTCCCTCATTCTTTGTCCCTCCCTCTCTCTCCTCATCCTCTCCTCTCCTTCTCCCCGTCCTTCCTTCCTTCTTTCTCTCTCCTCTCTTCTTCTTTTTTTTTTTTTTTTGAGACAGGGTCTTGCTCTGTTGCCCAGGCTAGAGTATAGTGGCCTCTTCATAGCTGACAGCAACCTCAAACTCCTGGGCTCAAGTGTTCCTCCCGCCTTAGCCTCCTGAGTAGCTGGGACTACAGGTACACACCACCACACTGGGCTAATATATATATATATATTTTTTTTTGTAGAGATGGGGGTCTCGTTCTTACTCAGGCTGGTCTTGAACTCTTGACTTCAAGTGATCCTCCCTCCTCAGCCTCCCAGAGTGCTAGGATTACAGGCGTGAGCCACTGAAGCTGGCCTTTCTTCATTTCTTTTAAAGTTATAACATTAAGATTTCTATAAATTCTAAGAAAATTATGTAGATAGGAAACTCTCTTTACTAGCATGCTGAGAAAACTGGTGTACTGGTTTAATGGACTATCTAAGCAAGTTTTTAGAGAGTTAGAAAACAGGAAAATAGGAACTGCCGTTTCACTTCCTTCCAATGACTCTGCAGTTAGTTTTCTGGGCCTTGGTCCTTGGCGACAGAGGCACCGGTGCGCGAGGGCCTAGGTGTTGAGCGAGGTTCTGACTCTATGACAACCTCAAAGCCTCTGCGCGGTGCGCTTCTGCCACAGTGAGCAGCGGGGCCCCGCCTCTCAGAAGCTGCCAACACCCAGGGGCTCCTAGCATCGCTCCCGATGGGGAACCCTGGGACTTGGGGCAGCCTGTCCCTCGAGAGCCGGATGAAACTTGCCACCCACGGACGCCTGGTCTCAGCTCGGCAGCAGCTGGGCGTCTGGAGCCAGCACACGTCTGCCCTGACCCGTCCATCGGAGCACGGGCTTCTTGGCAAATCAACAGCTGGAAGAACCAACACGAGACTGAAAGTGTCACGGAGTCTGCGTGGGGGCTGCAGCTTAGTGGCATTTCGGGCTGAGCCACAGCTTGCTCGCAGCTGGCACTGGAAACTGAGGCTTGACAAACGCTCATTCAGCAAACAACGGACCTGCAGGAGGGCTGGTTCTGCCTGAATTCAGCTTCTGCCAAAGGGGTTTTGCTCCTGTCTGCTCTCGTCCCCTCATTTCTCCCGTTGGGATCTGAGCGTGCCCTGCGGCCTGCTGGCCCCTTCGTTTTCGCTCCTTCGTTCCCTGTCCCCAGGCCTTGAGCTCCAGCACAGAAGGGCCCCGGCGTCCTGCCCGCCAGGCGGACGTGCTCACTGCCCGGCTGCGCAGCGCTGCACGGCACCTGCCAGCCGCGCCCGAGGCAGCCGCGGGTCTCACACGGGCATTGGGGTCTCTACGGCTGCACTTCACACCCCACGGGGCCTCTGGCCATTCTTCGCAGGTCTCTACTTTTGAAAATTGAGTCCCTTTGCAGTAACCTCCCCTTAGCAAAACGCCAGCTCTGAGAGATGCAGAGCGCGCGCTCGGCAAGACCCGCCTGCTAGTTGGGGAGAGCGTGGGGGGCCGTGGTCACCGACTGCTGCTGCTGGCAGCGATTCCTCGTTTTCCAGGCTCTGCCTGTGTTTTGTTCCCAGACTTGCTGTGTTACCTTAAGTGGCTCTGAGTTCGTGTATGCACGCACATGCTAGGCTGTAGACACTGCCACGCGAAGTTCTTGAGCAAAAACGAGACAGGAAATACCCTGGTTTTTAAAGAGGGGGATTTCGTGCGTAACCACGACCACATGCTGCACCTTGCTGCTTCCCATGGCCTGCCGCTGCCCCCCGCGCTGAGCCAGAGTGACCTCAAGGGGATCTGGGCTCAGATCTGGGGGGTGAGGGCTGGGACTCGGGCACACATACCCCAAATGGTGACGTGGGCCACATGTGCCTGTGGTTTTTTGAACCATATGAAATTGTCAATATTGGACCATTTTGGATGTACAAAAATGGCAATTTCATATGGTTCAACTGAATATCTAAAAATTTGTTGGATAAAGAAAATACATTTAAAAAAATCTATGCCTTTAAACATGTACATTTACAGAAGTCATGGTAGCTCTTGTTCTTCCGCATTTCCTCAATCAAAGCATACTGGAAGTACAGCTACCATCCAGCAGAAATCTACAGCCGTCTTTTAGGTCTTTTTTAAGCTGCGTAAGATCAGCAAAGCACTAAAAGCAACACTGACACCAGCCACCTGAAAAAAGCTCAGGGCCCAGATCTGACCAGGAGCCCTGCCAGGTGGCCTCCTTCAGCGGAGTTACAAGCAGCTTCTAACGGAAACCTTTCCTTTTTAAATTTCTCATCAAAGACACTAGACGGTGGCTAATTTGATTCAACTTGGGTGCCACCGAGTGTGACATCACCCCCCACCCACACTGGCGCGCCGGCCCTGCCCGTGGGGACCGCCTGGAAAAGCTGACGGCAGCGCACAGAAAGATGGCCCGTCACGGAACCACGAACACGCGCGATCACGGTCACGACGCAGAAAAGTCAAGCTTGGTACCTTCCTCTCGCCACAGGATGTTTGCAACTGCAGCAGTGGAGAACCGGGAAGGCAGGAACGTTCCAGATGGAGGGAAGAACAAAGAAGAAAGCAACATCAAACCTTCGCGGCAGTGATTCCGTCTATGAAGACCCTGGCACCCTGTCCCTCCCCTGCAGAATCTGCACCGCGCGTGGCCACAGCAACGGCCCCTGGGGGACTCTGGACACGAGCAGATGCTTTCAGGTCTCAGGGTCCTTTCCACTCCTAAACGAATCCTGAACTCAGGCCCCAGGTCACTGCTGGCCTGGGAAGCCTCAGGGAAGCTAATGGGGCCCCCACATTCCGTGGACGGTGAAGAGTGAGCAGCAGCGCTCCCGGATTTCCCGGATTACTTCCCGGAGAACTGGTTTTCAACTAGGATGTTCCAGGAAGACCGTGTGAGATACTTCTGATCATCTCTTTTAATGACAAAGACTCAGCTTGGAGTCTTTGACCACGATCAACACCCAAGTCCGTGAGATTGCGCCTGCAGGCCTACGCGGGGGCAGGGCTGTGTGGGAGGGCACACTTGGTGCAGCAGAGGGGCCGCGACCCCTGGAGCAAAGGCCGCTGCACTCCTGAGTGTGCCGGTGCGCACGGGCCAGCGTCCGGGCCACGGCGGGAGGCAGTACCTGGGGGTGGGTAGCACGAAGGATCTTGCGGACGACGGGCAGGGGTTCTGGTCCTACGGCAAGTGCGAGGCAGAACCAGCGCTGGGATACCTGAGCGTCCCTGTGCTCCTGGGCTCGGCCTGCTGTCCAGAGAGCTTTCCTATGTTTCCAGAGTTGTCTGGGTGGTCAGGGAAGGTCTGCTCACCTCTGGTCCCCTCTGATCCCAGCTTTATGCATAGAGGAATATGGGGTTTATGTCCCCAGGGCCTCACAGTTGGTGGCTGTGGCCCTGGCCAATCAGCACCCTCCCTTGCCTCTGACGACCCAAACCAGCTCAGTGAGAAGCTTAAAGGCAAGAGTCGACTCACGGGTCTTCCTAGCCGAGTCTTCGATGAAGAGCGAGGAGATGTCTTCGTCCACGCCCACTTCGTTTTTGGCAATGCAGGTGTACGCCCCTGTGTCTTCGTACCGGACACTGCCGATGTGGAGCTCGCTCCCGTTGGCTGCAGAGAGGACGGCGCTCAGGGTGGCCTGCTCAGCCGGAGACCCCCCACTTCCCCGTTTCCTTCACGGGGCTATTGAGAGTGTTGGGCTTAAAAACACAGCCGCTGGAAGCCAACATCCCTGATAACACACCCAGGAAGGGCTGGCACGGCTGAAATTAACGAGGGTGACATGGAACCTTGATGACATCTTCTCATCATTGCTCTCAGAAAGCCACAAGACCTGTCCCAGCCCAGATATCAGGAAAACATGGAGAAACATATGTTCACTCCCGACCTGGCTGACTTAGAAACGAATCGCACCTCTCGCTTCCGTTCCTAGAGTTTCGGCTTGAATTGGGAGGGAGTATCATATAGACACCAGGGCGGCTCTTACCTAAGAGGGAGAGCTGTTTAGACATCTGGTTTGAGACATCCATGCCGTTTTTCAGCCAAGTAATTCTGGGCGTGGGGATGCCCTCTGCGTGGCATCTCAGGCTGGCCGCCACCCCGGGCTCCTGTGCCTGGGTCTCTGGGTAGACGCGGATGACTGGTGGCACTGTGGGTGAGAGTCAGCCCCGGTGAGAGACGGCCCCGACCTGGGCTCAGGCCCAGAGACCCTGCTCCAGCGGGGTGACCGCGGGAGGTGACTCTGGAGTTCCCGTCTTAACCAGCTTACAGTAATCCTGTTCACAACTCACGCTCTAAAAGAAAAGGCTGTAAAACGGATTGCAGGCAATAAACACATCAGGCTTTGCACCCTGGAATTCATGGCTTTCATCGTTTTTCTAAATATGATCAGAAAGACATCCAAACGTTTAACGCTGTTCAGCTGCTACACGCAAAGAGCAACAGCCACCGAAATTTATTTCTGAATAAAATTTAGATATATTATTTCGGTTACCGGAAAGCCACTGGACAGGGGCTGAATTTCTTGCAGGAAACGCTTCACCGAGCACTGTGGGCACTGGCCGGGCCCTGCCCCGGGGAAGTTCGCTGATTTCCAGTGGGTCGTTTTCATCTGTGCACCTGCCAACCCTGGGGCGTGGGTGGAAGTTCGGGAACGCCCTCCTCAGCCATGGGCCCTGGCGGGCAGGTTTGGGGTGCGTGTGACCCGGCCCACTCCCCAGATGGGTGGGGACGGGCAAGGCTCCAGCCCCCTCCACGGAGCTCTGGCCTTTCCTGCTCAGGCCGGCCGTGGGGAGGGACAGCCTGGGGGATCGTCCCTCCCACCCCTTGCTCGGGGCCCAGCAAAAAATATCATTTTCAGTAGAATCGAGGGCTCTGACTTATCCACATACATTTTACTCCATATACTTTCAAAAAGGATTTGTGAGAGCTTATGTAAACACACCTGGACATTGAACTAAACAAAAACATTACAAACCTTTGGAAAAGGGGGAGGATTCTTCCCAAATGGGACAATTACCTTTTCCTAGAGTTATCTGGAAGCTTGTGTCGTTCGATAAAAGAAAGCATCCCAGTACTTTAGAAGACTTTTCTTGGGACCGGAGTGTAGAACGAATTGACGCTTATGTAGGAGGCGGCGCTGGCGGGGGTCCTGGGACCCGAGCAGGGCAGGAGGACTCCAGTGATCCACGCGTGGGATGGGCAGAGGACGAAAGAAAAACTCCACGGCCTCGTTGGAGAACACACCCTGCAGCTCCTGCCCCCACTCCTCAGGGGGCTGCTGCTAATCTGGTCAACTCGGTCTGAGTTCCGAGTGTTTCTCTGATTGATCTTGGGGCAAAGGTGCGGGGGCTGGGGCAGAGGGGAAGCTAAAGGGACAAGCAGGAAAGGACACGACCCCACCCTCAAGTGGCCCAGAGCTGTTTCAGTGACGTACGCTCCGAGCACCCTATGGCAAACTGCATGGAGAACCAAGAACAATAAAAGCAGAGTCCCGGTTTCTCTCTGTCTGAAGTTCTGGAGGAGAGTCCCGGGGTGTGGCAGAAGGGCCTTGTCACAGATCAGGCTCCGGCGGGTGGAGGAGGCAGGGGGGGCTCCAGCCGGGACGAATCTGGAGGAACACGTGGAACGTAAACCTGTGTCTCCTTTGGGTGACTCCCTCTTGCTTCAAAGAGCAAAGAGGGAAAGTCCCCTGCACCTGCCTTCGGTAGAGGGAGGAGTGGGGGCAGGTTGAATAGGTAGCAGAATTTTGGCCGGGAGGTTATAATTCAAGAGCACAGAGATAGAACCTGGGGGCCCAGGAGCCCTGGGCTGGAGGTGGCTGGAGAAGGTGGTAGCACAAGCAGAGTTCTAGAATAGGGTTGGCAGGACCTGGGCTAATAAGCTTGGACTCTTGATAGATCAGCATCCATTTATATAAGGCCGCCTGCCAACCACAGAGTAAATTTAAAGAAAGTGGGAGAAGAATCAGTGGAAACAGAAGCAGAAGTGAATGAATCAATTAGCTGAAAAAGAACTGACAAATAAATCTACACGCTGGGTGTTTGCAATAAAACCCAACAAAATAGCCGCATTTCCGGCAAGTTTGGTCAATGAAAAAGAGAGAGAACACAGAGGGAATTAAAAAATATGAGAGAATATTGTATTCAATTATGGGTAATTAATAGGAAAATCTCAATGAAATGGATCATTTAAAAGGAAACTTTAAAGCACAAACTTTGAATTAAGGAGAGAATATTTCAAACGATTTCAAAGTGCTGCTAACCCCAAAGGCATTCTGACTAGTTTTGTAGGAGAGTTCCTTTGTACATTTAAGAAATGGATGCTTCCTACAGCACGGAACAGGACAGATGTTCCAATTTACATCATGAAGCTAGTGTAACCTGGGCCCCAAAACCTGACAAAGAGCACAAAAAGGAATACACAGTTATCTTTCTTAGGCCCAGATACACCAAAATCCTAAGTAAAATATCGGCGAATCAAGCGTAGCGTGGAATTAAAGAACATACAGTGGCCAAGTGCGATATGTTTCATGGCTGTCAGGGAATTTGTAATTAGTCACATCCAAAATCAGAGCCAGTCAAAGAGAAAAACCATCTGATTCTCGTGCTAGACGCTAGGAGGGCCTTTGAAAAAAGTCCAAAATCTATTTCTTCGGGGAAAAAACACTCAATAAAATAGGAATAGAATGATATTTTCTTCCTACAATGAAGAATATCTCTATAAAAAGAAGAAACAGCACCATTCTTTTTCGAATGGTGAAACATTAAGTGAGAAAAAGGACAAAGGAAAGGAGGCGACATCAGGCTCTCAATGTTACGCTGGATGCTGCCAACGGAAGGCAAGAAATGAGAGGTACAAATATTAAAAAGATGGAAAAGAATGACATGTGGATATCCTCTAGGTAACAAACCAAAGTAGTAAGGATTAATCAGGAAGTACAGTAAAGGGGCCAGTGCCAAAACACACAAAATTAATAGGTTACTTATACACCAGCAATGACCAGACAGAAAATATAATGGAGCTCAATGGAGAAAACTATAAAACCTCACTGACAACATTAAGAAAAAGACTCGAATAATTGGAGAGAGACATTCTTGGATAGGAAGAGTTACTATTGTTAAGAAACAAGCTACTCTAAATTAAGCCATACGTTTAATCTAATTCCAATTAAAATCAATGGGTAGGGGCTTGACAAAACAATTATGAATTTATCTACAAAAAATTTACAAGAACGGCTGAGGAAATTTTGAAAAAAAGAGACTAATGATTGTCATTTTGCTCTACCAGATATTACAAAGCATTACAATACCGAATGCTGCAAAGTGGGGAAGGGGAGGAGGGAGAGAGGGCTCAGGGAGTTCTCACCTGAGTCTGGTACCATACGAATGATCTCCATAGACTTGACAAAGCTCTGTCAATTCAATGCTGTGCAGCCAGAGTTTATTAAATGCCTGCTGAGAGTCAGGCAGGACCCACACAGCAGTGGACAGGACAGCCCCCGTCCCCACCCTCACCCTAATGTATGCTAGTACTCAAAAATGGTCTCGACAAATTAAAAAAAATAAAAATAGTATCAAGTATTTCTCAGATCACAATGAAATAAAAACTAGATATCAAGAACAAGAGGAACTCGGGAAACTGTACAAATACGTGGAAATTAAATACCACGCTCCTGATGACCACTGGGTCAAGGAAGAAATTGTGAAAATAAAAACTTTCTTGAAACAAATGAAAATGGAGACAACATGCCAAGACCTACGGGATACAGAAACAGCAGTGCTAAGAGGGAAGTGTACAGTAATAAATGCATACACACCAAAAAAGTGGAAAGATTTTAAATAAACAACCTAACGATACATCTCAAAGAATTAGGAAAACAAGAACCAAACCAAACCCAACCCAAAATTAGTAGAAGGAAAGAAATAATAGAGATCAGAGCAGAACTAAGTGAAATAGAGACTAAAAAACAATACAAAGGATAAATGAAACAAAACATTGTTTTTTTGAAAAGATAAACAAAATCAATAAGCCACCAGATATACTAACCAAGAAAAAAAAGACAGAAAACCCAATAAACAAAATCAGAAATTAAAAAGGAGTTATTACAACTGATATTACAGAAATACCAAAGATTATCAGAGACTATTATGAACAACTATATGCTAACAAACTTGAAAACCTAGAGGAAGTGGATAAATTCCTGGACATATATAACCTACACACACTGAATCAGGAAGAAAGAGAACACCTAAACAGACCAAGAATGAGTAATGAGATTGAATCAGTAATAAAAAAAATCTCCCAAAAAGGAAAAGTCCAGGACTGATGGCTTCACTGCTGAATTCTACCGAACTTCAAAGAACTAACACCGATTCCCTCAAACTATACCAAAGAGTTCAAAGGAGGGACTTTTCCCTAACTCATCCTATGAGGCCAGCATTACCCTGATACCAAAACCAAAGACACAATAACAACAACAACAACAACAAAAAAAAAGAAAGAAAACTACAGGCCAATTATCATGGATGAATATAGACACAAAAATCTTCAACAAAATACTAGCAAAGTAAATCCAACAGCACATCAAAAGGATAATACACCACGATCAAGTGGGATTTAACCCAGGGATGCATGGATGATTCAACGTACGCAAATCAAACACAATACATCACATGAACAGAATGAAGGACAAAGCCATGTGATCATCTCAATAGATGAAGAAAAAGCAGCTGATAAAATTCAATATCCCTTCATGATAAAAACTCTCAACAAACTAGGCATAGAAGGAACATACCTCAACATAGTAAAGACCATATATGACAAACCCACAACTAACATCATACCAAATGGGGAAAAGCTGAAAGCCTTTTTTCTAAGAACTGGAACAAGACAAGGACGCCCACTCTCACCACCCTTATACAACAAAGTACTGGAAGTCTTAGCCAGAGCAATCAGGCAAGAGAAAAAATAAAAGGCATCCAAATTGGAAAAGAGGAAGTCAGATTATGCCTCTTTGCAGATGACATGATCTTACACCTAGAAAAATATAAAGGCTCCACTGAAAAAAGATCAGATTTGATAAATAAATTTAGTAAGTTGGATACAAAATCCACATACAAAAATCAGTAGCATTCCTATACACCAATAATGAAGTAGCTGAGAAAGAAATCATGAAAACAATTCCATTTACAATAGCTGCAAAAAAATCCCCCTAAGAATAAATTTAACCAAGGAGGTGAAAGAGCTCTACAAGGAAAACTGCAAAAACACTGATGAAAGAAATTGAAGAGGACACAAACAAATGGAAAGACATCCATGCTCATAGATTACAAGAATATTGTTAAAATGACCATACTACTCAAAGTAGTGTACAAATTCAGTGCAATCTCTATCGAAATACCAATGTCATTTTTCACAGAATTAGAAAATTCATATGGAACCAAAAAAGAACTTGAATAGGCAAACCAATCTTGAACAAAAAGAACAAAGCTGGAGGCATCACACTATCTTACTGCAAAATGTATTAGAAGGCTATAGTAACCAAAACAGCACGGTAGGGGTATGAAAACAGACAATAGACCAATGGAACAGAATAGAGAACCCAGAAATAAGTCCACGTATTTATAGCCAGCTGATTTTTGAGAAAGGTGCCAAGAACATGCACTGGAGGAAGGACACTCTGTTCAATAAATGGCACTGGGGAAACTGGATAGCCATATGTGGAAGAGTGAAACTGGTCCCCTGTTTCTTGCCATATAAAAAAGCCGACTTGAGATGGATTAAAGGCTTAAATGTAAGTAAGACCTGACACTATAAAACTGCAAGAAGAAAACATAGGGGAAACACTCTGGGATGTTGGTTTAGGAAAAGATTTTATGGCTAAGGCCTTAAAAGCGTAGGTAACAATAACAAAAATAGACAAACTGGACTATAGCAAGCTAAAACGCTTCTGGTCCAGCAAGGGAAACCATCAATAGAGTGAAGAGACAACCTGTTGAACGGGAGGAAATATTTGTAAACTGTTCATTTAGCAAGGGACTAATATCCAGGATATACAAGGAACTCAACAACAGTGAAAAAAAATTAAAAAATTAATCCCATTAAAAAGTGGGCAAAAGACATGAATAGACATTTCTCAAAAGAAGACATAAAAATGGCCAACAGGTACATGAAAAATGCTCAATATCACTGATTATTTAGGGAAATGCAAATCAAAACCACAATGAGATAGCATCTCACCCCAGTCAGAATGGCTCTTACTAAAAAGACAAACAAGTAACAAATGCTGGTGAGGATGCAGAGAAAGGGAAGTGTTAGCTCTATTGGGGGGAATGTAAGTTAGTGCAGCCACGATGGAAAACAGTGTGGAGATTTCTCAGAACGCTAAAAATAGAACTACCGTATAGTCCAGCAATCTCACCACTGGGTATTTACCCAACGAAATCAGTATGTCAATGGGGTACCTGCAACCGCCTGCTACTGCAGCACCATTCACAACTGCAAAGATACGAAATCAACCCAAGTTCCATCAACAGATGAATGGATAAAAACATGGGTTCTATATACACAGCGGAACACTCTTTAGCCATAAAAAAGAACGAAATTATGTCATTTTCAGCATCATGGATGGAACAGGAGATCATTATGTTAAGTGGAATAGACAGGAAGACAAATGTCACATATTCTCACTCTATGTGGGAGCTAAAATAATTGATCTCGGGGAGGTAGAGAGTAAAATGAAAGACCCCAGAGGCTGGGCAGGGGGCGAGTGTTGGAGGGGGATAGAGAGAGGCGGTGGATGGGCACAAACGCTGTCAGACAGAAGGAGTAAGTTCTAATGTTCGACAGCAGAGGAGGGGACTGCAGTTAACAACCGTGTATCGCATATTTCAAGACAGCTACCAGAGAGGACCTGAGATGTTCCCGACACACAGAAACGACAAATGCTGAAGGTGATGGACACCCCAGTACCCTGGCTTGATCATCACACATTCTACGATGTAGCAAAACATCACGTCCCCCATAAATATGTGCAAATATTATGCATCAATAAAAAAATAAAGTTAAAAAAAGGTGGAAAAAATACATGACTAAATGCAAGAACCCCGGTTCTCCATGGGCAGGGTTAAATGACAGCTCCCGCCCTCGCTGGTCTCGAGGTCCCCTTGAGCTGAAGACATCCTCGGGGGAAAGACAACTGTCCTGGCTCCATCCCTCGGCCAGCAGGACCGAAGAGGGGCCCGGACCCCCGCCTGCTCCACCTGCACCGCCCTCCCTGCTTCCCGGTCTTGTCCCCGCTCTACCTGGGGTCATCTGGACTCTTCTCCTCATGCCCCTCGTCTCGATCACACCCGTCTCCACCGGAAGCCCAGGCCTCTGGGGCGTCCCCCCTCCCCACACCTCCTGTTGTGTCTTCCGGACTCCTGTTCTGTCATTGCCCACATCCCTGCGTCCTCAGCCTCCGCGAGCGCTCCTTCACCCTCGCGTTGCCCTGGCACCCTGGCTTCCTCCTGGGGACGCTGCCTGTCCCGCAGCCTGTCCAGGGCCGGCTGCTCTCTTGGTACCACTGAGGGAGGGGGGTGGGCGTCCTCCTGGGCCCTCACTGCCATTTCCAGACCATTCTCCTTCCCTTCCCCAGGAAGGCGCCGAGCGTGAAGCCTCGTGTCCTGCCCAGTCCCATTCCCAGGTTTGCTTCCTCTTGCCACCCCCCCCCGGACGTCGCCCCCACAGCTCTCTCGTTCCTGCATCAGTTTCCTCCTTTCTACTGGACTTTTCCTGTCGGCCCATAAAATGCTTTTATTTCTTCCATCTTGGAAAAAAAATGCCCCCTTCCTCACCCCAACCTCTCCCCCAACTATGCCCCATTTTTCTCCTTGAAAACACCTCGAAGAGTCGTCCATGCTTCAAGTTGGAGCTGTCCCCGTGCGGCTCCTGCTGACGTCAGAGCCTTGGATCCAGCCTCCGCCATGTCGGGGAGGCGCCTGCGTGGGGCCTGCGTGGTTCCCGGGCTCGGCCAGGTCGAGGTGGGGACGCGGCTTCCCGCCAGCGACGTGGCAAAGACCCAGCTGCCTTCCCTCGGCCCTGACCTCCCTCTTCCTTACATGTTAATCCGCACACTAGACATAATTTCAAATTAATTTATACTGGGCAAACCCGTTCATTTTCTTTTAAATTTGCACAACTTTCAAGTGAAAATCTTCGCAAACGTAACACAAAGGCCCATTCTCCTTGGGAAACACTGACCGCTGCCAAGCGAAAGGCAGTGTAAGTATGTCCTTAAGTAAGGGGTACAGTCACGGAGGTACCCAGCTGGAGAAATAAACAGATTTGGGAGATTATTATTGTGTTTTTGGGAGTGAATCGCTGCTTGTCTGAACTATGGGGAGGTCGAGGGTATTTTTAATTTAATGGATTAATCATTTATGTCTGAAGTTCTGGCTCCTTCCCACGAAAGCAATGCAGGAGGTTTGCACAAAGTTATAAATCACGTTGGCGTTTGGGCCACATCTCTGGCAGGCCCAGGCGATGGCTAAGTTATACTAATAATTCGAGAGAGGAAGTGCTTGCCTGGAATGGCTCCCTTTAGGCAACCAAGTCTGGCAGACTCATGGAAGGGGACACCCCAGAAGACGGTGGCCCGGCCTGTGTGTGGGATCCTGCCCCTGCCTCCAGAGAGCCAGGGCGCGGGGCAGCCTTAGGGTGAAGAAACCTATATTTTATTTTTGGCTTGACAATTTTCTCTGCGTCTTGATTTTCCCATCTGTGTAATGGGCTGGAGGGTCTCTGAGGGGCCACCAGCTCTGACCATCTGTGTCTACCAACTATAGCGCAATACGGCTTGAGACAAACCAAACTCTCCCCCGTGTCTGCTCCACGCCGGACTGAACCACGTCCCTTGTCAGGCATTTCCTAAACGTTTTATACATATTACATCTCTTCAGGCCAGGTCGAGGCAGCCAGCAACACGACAGAGGTCAGAGCACAGGCTCTGGATCCAGAATGACACCTCACCCAGGCAGGTCCCCTTTCTTAGAAACTCATCCGTAAGGGGGTTAAACTATATCGCCTGGGAGGGTCCATGTGACGTCGTGACCACTGACACAGGCAGGAGGGGCGCATTCTTCCCAGTTTCCGGGAGTCCTGGCAACTCAGGGGTCTGTGAGAATCAAAGAAAACCTTCCAACCTCAGTTTCTGTCCTGGCTTAGCCTAAGATGGGCTCACTGAACCCCCCGTGGAGGGAGATGGGCACAGGCCCTTGTCGGAGGAACTAATGTCACCCATCTGAACAGGTGACGCGGTTCCATGCCACCAGGAGGAGGAGTGGCGGGTGGGAGACAGGTTCTCTCTGGCTGGATCCCGAGGCCGCCACGGCTCGCCACTGCCGCGCTGCCCACGGGGCCCACGCCACGCTCTACGGTGGCCTGCGGGAGGCCTGGCTGCCAAATGTGACCTGTCCCATGAGTCACCCCACCGGCACTGGGTTCATTTCATCTGAGGCGGATGTGGGTGGGGCCGGACACGTGAATTCGTCATCGGACTCTGCCCTTTCCTCATCGTCCCCCTTCACTCCTAAGGGACGTGGGTATTTCGAGGTTAGATGTTTCTCTAAGAAGGCACAGCACAGGAGGTGAGCGCTGCTCTGCGCGGCGTTTCGGGAAGGTTCGAGGGGACGACGCGCATGGAGCCAGTTACTAACCATTCACCTGCAGGACGTGGGTCTGGAACAGCTCCTCGTGGCCGGAGGCGTGGCAGGTGTAGTTGCCCACGTGGACGGTGGTCACCTTGGTGATGTACAGGGAGTCATCCTCCCCGAAGTCCTGCTTGAGGCAAAGAGACAATGAGCCGGCTTCGTGACCAAGCAGGCTGAAAGCCCTGCCTCCTGTTGTCCCAGGAAAGCAGGAATCCTGCAGCTACCGGAGGGTTTCTTTCCGCCCACCCCTCGCTCGGCCGGGCAGCGGCAACACCCTCCCTCCCCCGCCCTGCGGCCCGCGCCCCGGCGCCTGCTCCTCATGCCCGGCGTGGACGCGTCCCCCGCACGCTCCTCTCGGTTTCTGCTACGTCCGCCCACGTGCCCCCCGTTCATGCCCCGACCGCTTGTCTCCGGGTCTCGCCCACGCGATGAGCCGCCGCTTCAGCAGGGCGGGCCTTGCTTAGAGCAGGGCTCCGCGAACTTCCCTAAGGGCCAGAGGGTGGATATTCTCGGCATCGTGGGTGGGATGGGTCGGGTGTCTGTCAACCACTCAACTCTGCCGTCGTAGCACGGAACAGCCTTGACGACACGTAAATTAACGAGTGTTCCAGGGAAATTTTATTTACAGTGGGGCTGGGTTTGGCCCACGGGCTGTAGTTCACCTGCCCGTGGTTTAGATCCCTCCTCAATCCCAGCATAATTTCGGGCAGCTTGCAGAGGTCTGGGTAACCCAAGGGGAGGGAATCAGACCGCGAGGAAAGCGGCAGGGCAGGGACACGGGAGAGAGCCAGGGAGGGCGGATGCCGGGGACTCGGTAAGAAACGGCCCAGCAAGGCCTGGCACCGCCGTCTCTGCAGCCTGACGACGAGGGGTCTTACTGGCCAGCGGTGGGGGGTTGGGCAGGAGGGGGCGTCAGGCCACACGGAGTCCCCTGACAAGCTCTGGGCACCAACTACGTCCCTGGGCAGCTGTGCTCTCTTGCAGGGCTGCACACGAAGGTGGCCCCTCGCAGACGCCCCCTGCAGATGCGCTGGAGGCTGGAATTCCTGGTTTTCCACAGAGACCCCTCCAGGTGGCCGAGGACACGTGCTCAGAGCTGACGGGACAGAGAGGGCCCAGGCTCGCCGGGGAGAAAGAGGGCTGTGCGAGGAGCGACAGGGAGCCCGGCAGCTGGCATTCAGACCCTCGGGACACCCCGGGGTTTAGCCGGAGCTCTGCCATCGACAAAACGCTCCCTAGTCCCTCTGGGCACTGGTTTCCCTGCCTGTCAGTCGTGGACAATACCTGGCCCTGTCTGCCTCATGGGGCGTTGGGAGATTTGGGGAAAGAATGCACGTGAATATATTCTCGAACGTGGGAAGCGTGACATACACGGGGGACGTTATTTTTATTTTTATTATTATGGTTTTTTAAGAGACAAGGTCTCACTCTGTCCCCCAGGCTGGAGTGTAGTAGTGTGATCACAGCTCACTGCAGCCTTGAACGCCTGGGCTCAGGCGATCCTCCAGCCTCAGCCTCCTGAGTAGCTGGGACTATGGGTGTGGGCACAACCACACTTGGCTAACATATATATTTTTTAAGGCAAGCAGGAAAATGAGGTTTATTGAGGAGAGAAAGATAGGATCATAGGGCAAAAGCAAGATATAGGTTTATAGAACATGATACATATGCCACAGATGATGAGTGGACCCATTGTCACAGCAAAGGTAGGGCATAAAAAGGACACCTGGTTAATTTTTTAAAAATTTTTTTGTAGACATGGGGTCTCACTATGTTGCTCAGGCTGGTCTCAAACTCCTGATCTCGTGCGATCCTCCCACCTCAGCCTCACAAAGCCCTGGGATTACACCCACCACGCCTGGCCTCTTGTTATTATTAACAGAAGATGCGAAACTCCTCTTGACCCCCTGGAGCAAACACTAAACCACCCCTCTTGCCATTTCTGAGCTTCCTTCGGCCACAGAAGCACTCCGGTGGTGGAGAGGGGGCCACGAGGAGGCCACCGTGGCACAAGGGCCGTACAAGCAGCAGCAGGACCACTCCTCGGGCCCCTCACTAGCGCTCCCGCCCCTGCGCCGACATGCTGCGGCTCCCCCGGCTCGAGCTGCGGAGGTGCTGGCCTCAACCGTCATGAGACCCTTTAAAGACTCTTTGTGGCTCATTAGCCCAGTGGGTGTGCTGGCCCAGGGCGAGGCTGGCGGTGGGGCCCAGGTGGAGAGTGGACACCTGCGGCCGCCTCCAGGACCTGGCAGTGCTCCCGAAGGAGGAAAACTGCAGGGGCCGTGGGAACCCTGCGAGCTTGCTGAGGAACATCGCTCTGCTGAGGAGCGCCCCTTTGCTGCCATTCTGTGGAAGCATCAGACGATAAAAATAAAGCACCAGATAGCGGATTTGTCTTGCATCCTAGCAGGGTCATAAAGCGTTCGTGCCTGTGCTGCTTATGAAAAGTGAATGACTGGTCGATTCTGGGGCCAACATATTTCTAGTCCAAGCTGCTTCCTGTGTAAAACCTAAGTCTCGGGAAAATATGGTTTTCTTGGAGCCTCAGTGGGGGGATGGCATCTTCCTCTTCTTTTTTTTTTTTGAGACAGAGTCTCACTGCGTTGCCTGGGCTCGAGTGCCGTGGCGTCAGCCTAGCTCACAGAAACCTCAAACTCCTGGGCTCAAGCGATCCTCCTGCCTCAGCCTCCCGAGTAGCTGGGACTACAGGCATGCGCCACCATGCCCGGCTAATTTTTTCTATATATTTTTAGTTGTCCAATTAATTTCTTTCTATTTTTAGTAGAGACGGGGTCTCGCTCTTGCTCAGGCTGGTCTCGAACTCCTGAGCTCAAACAATCTGCCCGCCTTGGCCTCCCAGAGTGCTAGGATTACAGGCGTGAGCCACCGCGCCCGGCCGGGATGGCATCTTGAAAGAGGGCGGAGTGCAGCCCCCCACCTTGGGGAGGGAGGTTGGGGGGAGCTTGGAAACCCCTCGATGCTGCACTGGGTGGTCCCAGGGCAGACTCCAGCCCAAAGGGCAAACCCAGAGCTGCTCGCAGAGGGTCTGGTGCTGGGCTGCCGGCGCTGTCCCCCCCGTCGCCCTCCTGAGCTGCCACACCCACAGCCCCTCACCCGACGGCCCTTGGAGCCAATGCCAGGCTCTGGCTGCCCCTCCCCCTCTCACCGCCTTGACGGGGCTGCTTGGTCACAAGGACCACAGCGTTCTTTAGGCCGAGATGCGCCCTGCGCTCTGACAGCTGCCCCAAGGCCAAAGTTCCCGCAGACACACCCCAGAGTGACACCCACTAATGCCAGCGCTCGCTCTTCAAGAGGTTACCGGGTGCCAGGAACTGGACATCCAGCAATCGCCTCGTTCAGTCCTCAGAAAAAACCCTGAAAACCCAAAACCCTAAAACGAAGGAAAAGCCAGTCCCCGTGGGTGAGATGGCGGAGCTGTCCTTGAACACACATCAGCGGATCTTCTCCTACCACCGGCCGGGCCGCCGCCTTCCCTGGGTGGGGGTGGGTACGCCAGGGGCCCCTGCCCCCCGCAGGCCCCTCCCGTGGCAGCCAGATCACAGCCCTCCGCGCTCAGAACCCGGCTCAGGGCTGCCGGGTCATCCGTCCCATCGCCGTGCAGACCCGGCTCCCCCCATGCTTGCCTTGCTGTTGCTCCGGTGTGCCAGGCCTGCTCCCCCTCCCGCCAAGGCTGTCTGTCTGTCTGTCTGTCCGTCCGTCTCCCTCTCTTCAAGCCTGCTGGAATCTTACCTGCCGGCCCCATCTCCGGATGCTGACCTCCGCCCCTCCCTGCCTTACGTCTGCTCACGGCACCCACTGCCGTCTTCGCCCCATGTCTCTCTGCTCCAGAGCGGGAGCTCCGTGTCCCCTGCTGTGTCCCCGGTGCCTGGCACAGGGCCTGGCACGCGTGGCCCTCGGTAAGCACGTGTGGAGTGGGCTGGACAAGGCCCTGCGCTGGCCCTTCTGCAGGGACTGTGTTCTGGCTCCGGTTCTGTGGGTTTGACAACCGAGGTGCCCTCCCCCGCCTTCCCATCCTCCCAAATGCCGTCCAGTCTCACGGGGTCAAAACGAGGCAGCTGGTGGCGGGCAGAGCACTGGTCCCACGTCTTGCGCCCCTCCCCCCCGCCTCCTCCGGGGGCCTCGTGGCTGTCTTGCTTTCCTCTGGGGAGAGCCCGACTCTATGATAAATAACGTCTCCGGGCTAAAACAATACGCATCCTATCATCACAGAACAGGGCGCATATTGTTTTCTAGATACGGATACTAGCTACAGAAATCAAATTTACCTCCTTGGATGTGAGAAAATTACTTTAAAAGTGATTTATAAGAAGCCGCATAAACCTAAACCTGCGATCCTTCCTCTCCCGAATGTTCTCTGAGATGCGTCCGTCCCGCTCTCGATACCCGATGGCGGCTCTGTGCCGTCTCTTTACGGACGGCCTTGTCTCGCTCTGACGCACAGAAATGTATTAGCAAGATCAAGGCTCCTTCCAGAAATAAACAAATGCCAGATTAGACCACTCTTTGTATTGAGGCACATCCATTTTGGGCAAAGAGACAATTTCACCTTAAGATGTGGTAAAATTAAAATAGCCTTTTAAAAAGCTATTTTCTAAGTATCTGCCCTTAGTAAAGACAGTAATTAAATGAGACTTAAGTATTAAACAATAGTTACGCGGAGATGAGACGGGGCCGTTGCCACGGTGATACGTGAGAGTCAGGTGCGAGTAACACGAAAATGAGCCATCCATGCTGAATACTCAGTGACTAAACATTAAACACAAGGACTCTGGAGTGACACTGGAGTTCAGGTTAATGACACCATCAGTGTTCCGAGCTAAAACTCAGCTTAGAAACATTTATGCAGAGCTTTTCCAGCTTTCCCTGCTCAGGAGCATGCCTGGCTCTCTGGGGAGGAGGAGGTGAAGGGAGGACTCTACCCGCAGCGGTTCCACTCTGGCCCCTGGAATGTCACTAACCACGCAGCTCCCCTGCAGCGGACCAAACACGGAGTGCCACGCAGTGGCTCAGTGATGGCCAGTCCTCAGGGACGTCTGTGCTCACATGAGCACCGTGGCCACTATCACGACCAAGCCGGGCCCAAAGGCACGCATCTGCTAGCACGCG